GAGGATAAAAAAGTCATAGTGGCCATTATTTGACCTGTAACGATCACCTATTTAATTTGCTGCATGTTCATATGCAAGCATGTTAGTACGGCCCCCTTACCTGCCTTGCAAGCTGTTAGTACCGCCCGCTTACCTGCTGCAGCATATCGTTTAGTTACGCCCCTTACCTGCTTGCAAGCCATGTTAGTACGTCCCTTACGCACTGCCTGCAAGCATGCTTAGTACGCCCCTTACCTGCTTGCAAGCTATGCTTAGTACGCCTTACCTGCCTTGCAAGCATGTTAGTATCTGCCCCTTACCTGCCTGCAAAGCATGTTAGTACGCCCCTTACTGCCTGCCAAGCATGTTATGTACGCCCTTACCTGCCCCTGCAAGCCATGTTAGTACGCCCCTTTACCTGCGCTGCATAGCATGTTATGTACTTCCCCCTTACCTGCCTGCAAGCATGTTAGTTACGCCCTTACCTGCCTGCAAGCATGTTATCATACGGGGGCCCTACCTGCTGCAAGCATGTTAGTACGCCCCTACCTGCCCATGCAAGCATGTTAGTGACGCCTACCTGCCTGCCAAGCATAGTTAGTACTGCCCCTTACCTGCCTGCAAGCATGTTTAGTACGCCCTTACCTGCCCCTGCAAGCATGTTAGTACGCGCCCCTTACCTGCCTCTCATGACTAATAAACTATTACGGTGTTAGCGCAATTTACCCAAAACGTGCAATCCCCGCGCGTAATGAGTTATCATTGCCTTTTCTGTCTTTAATCACCAAGCAGGCAGTGAGCGCGGATAGTAGGCCATAACAAGCCCGCATTATTATAATAACCATGGAACATCAAATTTTGATTTCCAAATGCGGATATGCCATAGTTACAGTAATTATATCGTACAAGATACATTCTAACGCTTTTCACACGTCTGACATTTTTAGTCGTGAATTGCATGCAAGCGTAACGTACGATAGCCTCCAGGTGTATCTCGAATTCTGTCTGAATGCTTACTCCCACTCGGCCGCTCCCAACTCAGGGTACGGCGTGGGTAGAGGCGCCTCGGCATACATCAGTAAGCCTTCCGCAAATTGTCGCACTTATTTGCGTCTCTAGAAAAGGAATATTTTGGCATTATCTTTTCGCTGTGAAATTCGGCCACTTAGAGTGGTAATAATTTGTATTATGCACACATGTATAGATGCCTCTGTGGACGTCTAGAAAGGCATTAGAAGTAAAATTGGCGACTTTCGTGTAGTTGTCGACATTTCGTCAAGTAGCCTAAGCCATGTTGACCGGTGGCCATTTTTGTTGAAATGGTGCCACTATAAGCAATAAATAGCAAGCCATCATATTATACGCGAGCGGTCAGGCTGTGCTTGAATTGCCAAACGATGCTTTCCGCGAATTGCATTTTTTATATGTACATCATCTCGCGAGTCCTCCTCACCGTGGACCTTCAGTGCGAATCAGTTGGAAGGCGATCGTGCGACTGTATAATACGCTACTGATAATGAGTGCCTGCCGCCCATATAAGTGGGCGCTGAATCATTCCCGGACCCCATCCTGCCACGCATGATTTCCGAATCCGCGATGTGATGTGCAGCGCACAGAAATGCATTCGTAGCAGCGGCGCGCACGAGGTTATACTTTCAAATTGATCGAAATGTATTACCTTGAGATGCGCGCCCATGACGTTATTGTGTGTGGACCGCTTGCACTTGCCATGCATTGGAGGGATCATATGAGATGCTAGCTCTGTGTTTGTCTGTCTGCTATGCTCTGTCTGTCTGTCTGTCTGTCTGTCTGTCTGTCTGTCTGTCTGTCTGTCTGTCTGTCTGTCTGCTGCCTGTCTGTCTGTCTGTCTTCTGTCGTCGTCTGCTTCAATCTATTCTGCCCGTCATATCCGTTCGCTCCGTCTGCCGGCCCATCCGTCTGTCTGTTCGTCCGGTCCGCCCATCTGTCTGTCTGTCTGATCTAGTCTGCTCTGTCTGCTCTGTCTGTCTGTCTGTCTGTCTGTCCTCTGTCTGTCTGTTCACTATCTGCCCGTCTTATCACGTTTCGCTCGCGTCCGCCGCCATCGTCATGTCTGTTCGTCCGTCGCCCATCTGTTCATGTCTGTCTGTCTGTCTGTCTGTCTGTCTGTCTGTCTGTCTGTCTGTCTGTCTGTCTGTTCATCTATCTGCCCCGTTTCTATCCGCTTCGTCGTCTGCCCGCCCATCCGTCTGTCTGTTTCGTCGTCCCGCCCATCTGTCTGTCTGTCTTGTCTGTCTGTTCTGATGTGTGTGTTTGTCCTGTCTGTCTGTCTGTCTGTCTGGTCTGTCTGCTCTGTCTGTCTGTCTGTTCTGTCTGTCTGTCTCGTGTTCTGCTCCGGTCTATCTGTCTGTCGTTTGTCTGCCTGTCTGTCCGTCCGTTCCGTATGCCCCATCCATCGTCGTCGTTCTGTTCGTCGTCCCGCCGCCCGTCTATCTGTACCGTCTGTCTTGTGTCTGCTCTGTCTGTGTCTGTCTGCCTGTCGTGTTTCCCGTCTGTTCTATTGTCTGCCTGTCTGTCCACTGTCTGTCAGTCTGTTTTTCCCTGTCTGTCCGCTGTCTGTCTGTCGCTCTTTTCTGTCTGTCTGTTTCACATCTCGTCTGTACGTACTTCTACTGTTCCCATTCGTCCGTTCGCTCATCTGCGCTGTTTGTGATGTCTGTGTGTCTGTGTGTCTGTCTGTCGGTTTGTTTCTCTGTCTGTTTGTTTGTCTGTCTGTCCGCTTCTGTACTGTCTGGTCTGCTTCGTGTCTATCTGCTTTGTTTGTCTGCTCTGTCTCGTTTGTTTATTCTTTCTGTTTGCATGTCTGTCTGTCTGTCCTTCTAGTCCTTCTCGCCTTTGTCTGTATGTATGCTATCGTCTGCTCATGTCTGTCCTTCTGTCCTCGTCTATCTGTCCAGTCTGTATGCGCGGCGACTGTGCGTGGCGTTCGTGTTATCTATGAAGGTGCATACGTAAAATTATGTATTGTGCTGAGGTTGTGTGTGGTTGTGTTGTGTGCTGTGTGTTTGTGTGTTTGTGTTGCTGGTGGGTAGTGTGTGTGACTTGTGTGCTGTGTGTGTGTGATTTGTTGTGTGTGGCTGTGTTCGTGCAGTGCCGTGCGTGTGCCGCTGCGTCGCTGTTGGTACCGTGTGGGTATGATGTGTGTGTGTGGTCTGTGGTGTGGGTGTAAATGTGTACGTGTATGTGGTGTGTGTGTGTGCGGCCCTCTCGTGTGTTGTGTGTGATGGTGTGTTGTGTGCGTGTATGTGTGGTCGAGTATGTGATGTGGCGTGCTGTGTGTGTGTGTGCGTGCTGTGTGCCTGGGGTTGTCGTGTGTGTGTGTCGTATGTGTGTGTTGTGGTGTGCGTCCGTCGCGTGTTTGTGCGTGTGGTGTGTGTGCTTGGTGTGGTGTGGTGTTGTGTGTGCTGTGTCTCCGGTTGTGGATCGGTGGCGTGTGTGTGTGTGAGCCCGGCGTGGCGTGTGTGTGTGTGTGCGTGTGTGTGTGTGTGGTGTGCTGTGTGTGATGTGTGTGCGACGAACCGGGTGAGGACCGTGTGCGTCGCTGGTGTGTGTGTGTGGTGTGCGTAGCGCTGTGGTGATGTATCGTGTGATGTCGTGTGTGTGTGTGTGTGTGTGTGTGTGTGTGTGTGTGTGTGTGTGTGTGTGTGTGAGGAAAACATGGCGATCGATTACAGCACATAGCATTTAATTATTAAACGGATGCGGATGTAGAATCGTCTGCAGTAGCCCTGCGTTACGACACATACACCTACTCTGTGGCGGATAAATCATTAAGGATTTCGCTTGGTAGCGAACAAGTTTACTAACGCCATATGATTCGATGTGAAAATTGATGAATTCGTGAAAATTAAATCTCATTCAGAATTAGGTACGAATAGTCTAAAAGTCTAAAAGTCTTGCTCTATGAACGTCTGGATTCCCAGCAGATTGATCGATAGGAAATGCAAAAATGTGAGGCGAGCCAAACAACAGAAAATCGCAGCACGGCCTTTCGTGTACACTCGCTGTCTGTGTTATATCTGTTGGCTATAACTATAACTATACAGTTTTTCTCAAGACACGTCGTAAATGTGATTATAGTTATTATCAGCGAACGTCCGACCGGCCGCCTGTGCCACAAAGTAACTGCTCATTTAGTGCAATCAGCCGCGCGCATGCGCACATGGATATTTGACGATGCACAGGTGAGGCAGGCTGTGCAAGGTGATGCGACTGTCTGAGACGGGCAAATAATTACGCAGCGGCAGCGAGCGGACGCGTGAAATGCTGGTCTGTGAAAACCAAGTGGGATGTTCATAATGCGTTCTAGCTACTAGAAATCATCTCTGTGTTCGTGCTCTAACAACACAGACGGCGGCGCGACAGCATGGTAAGGCAGTGCTTAAAAGAGTGAAATTGCCTATACGAGCAAACACGACGGAAAATGAAAGCGCATCGGGCTGCTCGCTGTAGGCTCGGTACTACGGGTCCATGCCAAAGCGACGTCGCCACTACCAGATGACAAGCATCCGAACGGGGAACGTTTTCTTGGATACCGTGGAACGTATATATTGGGTATGGTAGTATTTACTGTCGATTGTTTGACGAATTTTGGATCAGAATAGAGGTGCGGCTCTCGGAGATCGGAATTCTGCGACAATACGAACATTCCATGCTATATTATCTATCTATATACGATTGACAATCGGTGAAGCTACGCTGAAACCGTCGTTTCGATGTTGTGGCAGACGTGATGCATGTTAAAACCTGCGCAAGGTGAATGCGCTTATACAGACGTAAAATCGAAACGGATTTGAAACGTCAGGCAGAGAATACTTCGCGGTGCCGTCTAGACCTTCGCCAGTTCCTAGAGAATAGCCGGCACACTGGTCAGTGCAGTGGTGGCCTGCCGGCTTTGGTGAGTGGAAATGAGTGTGAATGATGACGCCGCATAAGTTAATCCGCGTTCTACGAACCTACCATCGACGTTCGCAGACGAGCATATAAACGCATTTCTTGTCCCCGTGATGATAACGGAGTACTAAATTCCGGAGGCTGCCCTTTCCGCTCGTTCATCAGTAGGATCCGACTTCGCGGATAGTTGACATTTCGCCAGCAGCGTCACGTACGCCTACCTCCCAAAGGTAATGCCGCACCTAACGGATTCCGACTACAGCGCGAGCTGAGAGCGCCTAACTGCATGTAGACGTCATTCGGAACATTCTCAGATTCACCAGTGCCGACTCTGGTTCCTAGTGGGAAGCCAGTTTGATACGCAACGATGCCATCTCGAAGAGGTTTAATTGCCCCACAGAACACGCTACTCGAAAACCTTCTACGGCGATCGAATGGACAACGTAAGTATATACAATATATATAAGGGGTTAATAATGACAAAAAATTGTCATTCTTAACCCTGATATATTATATTATTTTATTATATACATATATATATCTATATATATTTTTAATTTGTACGTCTATTCTATATTAATATATCTATATTAACTAATATATTTATAGTAGATACAATAATATATATAATAATATATTCATATAATATACATATATATAGCACATTATGTGTAATTATTATATACAATATATATTATATACAAATATAATATATCTATATTAACATATTTTTTTACTTATATATTTATATTTATAATAGTGAGGATTTTCTGCCACATAGTGGTGTTGTCCTGTCGAGCTGCGCGTCCATTTTGTGCGCACGTCAGCGTGCAGAGCCGGTGGCCGTGGTTGTGTGCCCTTAAGTCGTCAAGCGTCGTATGCAGTATGAAAAACTGCAAAGTACAATAGAATACTGTAAATGTAGAGCAGATTACTGGCTAAGCGGGGGGGGGATCAATGCCTGTCAGTCAATAATCATTAATTTACTAAGAAAGCGCGGAAAAAATACATTACGTTGGAATTAGCATACTGTTCTATACAATGTTTTATTACAAAAAAGTGCATGTAATAGAATATTTGCCTGCACGCACATGGTTAAGGACGTATAATATATCTCAACATGTATTGAAAAATATTAATACTATACAATTTGAGATTCAGTTATGTAATTTACAATTGGCTTTCTGTAACTGAAGAATAAGACGGCGGGGGGGGGGGTCGTCATGCCCAATTGGCATTTATCGGCCGAATTACATTATAATTTCCTGGGTAATAACTTATTCAGATTCAAGAAAGTCGTCTAAGAACAACACGGGGACACGGTGTTACATTAATAATAATTATACCGATATTTTATTATATATAGCTCTGTTTTCGTGCGCTGAAGTTAAGAATTTGCATCGCCCGAGTGACAGACGCATTCATGCAGAGGCGAGACCACGGCGACAAGATTAGCTAGCGTCATTCTCTAGCATAATTTTGGGCCTGATGTCAACGGTTATGACACTATGGTTCGGCTTCACGCGATGCGAGCTTCGGCGCACTGCCAAAAGATAATTCGTGAGATGCAACTGCGAGCATGCGGAAAGCTGATTATGATATTTTTATTATTGCATCATAAAAGCCGCTGAGCCGAAAAACGCAAACCGTTGTCGACTCTTTCGATATTAATTTTGCGAACCTCCCAGGTTGTGTCGCCGAGAGCAGACGGATCATCGCGCGAGACAAAACATGTTGCGTTCTGTACGTTGTCTTTGCGTGCGTGCAGCTCTCCTGCAGGCAGCACGCTCGTAATCGGTGTTACATGGCGCAATAATACAATGCGGGAACCCCCCATATAGGCCAGCGTAACAAATGGTCATTATGGCAATAAAGCTCTTTGCCGGCCGATGCATAAAAATCAATGTAATCGGCAACGGCGCGTAATCAACGCACGACGTCGGCCTGTGTGCTAGGTTGCGTTACTATTACCACACAGGCCTGCTACAGCTACGCCAATCAGATCCCTATAAACAAGTATATCTATATCGGTCTATAACAAACGCAATGCCCGCAGTCGTAAAAACAATCTATATTTAATGCGTCCTCAACGTAATATCAAGTAGTTTTTTCTGTAGTATATACAGTTGTTTTACCATGCAGGCATCGACGCAATTTTCTACGTGCACGGCGTCTACATAATCAGCATGCATTCTCGACGCACGGATTGATAGCGGCGGTTTTTCGCTGGAGAGCTGGAAATTAAATCAAATCAAACGCAGTAATGAGAACTTACGAAAGATACTCAGGCGATGATGTAATGCGCATAAAGCGAAGCTCCGCTCGATACACATTAAGTATGAAAATATCTAGTCACTCGTCGCTGAAGATATTCCCACAGCAGCAGTAATGCGAGTAGCGCAATAAACGTGTAAGGCACAGTCACAATGACATATTTCATATGTATCGGCGTAGCGGCCATGCATACGACAGCGCCAGTCGTGGCGTGGATCAACTGCAGCTGTGGGACACGATCAAAATACTTGCGTAATAGATCTCTCATAATCAATTATCGCAGATAAAACGCCGAAAGTGCCACACAGAAGCGGAGTTGGCGGTGAAGCAGTAAAATTTCTTTAGATATACAAGCTTACCTAGACGATATCTGATGTCTTTTTCTGTTTGCATCAATCTGAACGCTGCACGGAGTCTATACACATGGGATTTATCTACTAAGATCTTTAATTTTTTTCCTAAGGTCGGTGGCAAAGTTTATGGTCTGTGTCTATATATGTAAATTAATATTTTCTACATCTCATAACATTTGTTCTTGATCATCGTACTAGCTGCTGAAGAATATGCTACGGAGTATGGCTGGAAGCTCGAGCCATTTGCAACATGCTCAATGTGGAAGTACGTATAAGATTATCTAGGTGTCGCAAGCCCTCTACAATGCTGGTCACTGTATTCCTATCCGTAATATACTATTCCACTGTCGGAAACAACACTAACAGCAAATGCGATATCAGTTCAAATGCACGTCTCGATACATCCGTCAACATATCAACCACATAACGAGCGTCTCCTAGAAACAGCTTCATAGCAAATATTAATAATCACAGTAACGTATTACGGCATGCGAATATCATCCATGAAATATAAACTCTGTTTTTAAAAAATGGCGATTGTAAATGTGGGCATATTTAAATATTCAGTCTATATCTATATCTATCTATCAGCCTGGTCTAACAGATTTTCAGTATCCGAATTAATAAAAAAAATGAAAATGAGTTTTTTCAGAGTTTACCGCTGAAACAGCAAAATTTGGGAATTTGCTCACTAAAAAGATTACACTGCGCAAGCTATTTTTCACAAAATATTATTCATGCTGACAACGAGTAGAGATCCGCCTCTTCCGCAACAGGATAAGATTGGTTTCAGCTCGTCCTATTTCGAATATCACGCCATATGCAACACTTCGTTCAGTATACTAATTGGTTATTTTTTTCTAATGGGAGAGGCATATATTTTCCATAAATCCGCCGGTAATACGGAAGTCGACAGGCAATATTATCTATAGTCTATTCTATTCTTATCTATCTATCTTCTATCGTCTCTATCTATTATCTATCATCTATCTATCTATCTATCATCTATCTATCTATCTATCTATCTATCTAATCTAATCTACATCTATTATTCTTCTAGTCTATCTATACACTATCTATCTACTAATCTATCTATATATTATCTATCTACTATCTATCTATCTATCTATCTATCTTCTATCTATCTGATCTATCTATCATTCTATCTATCTCATCATAATCTCTTTACTTGCTATCTATCTATCTCTTGATCTATCTATCTATCTTCTATCTATCTACATCTATCTATATATCTATCTATCTGTCTATACATATCTTCATCTATCACTATCATCTATCTATCTATCTATCTATCTATCTATCCTATCTAATCTATCTATCTATCTATCTATCTATCTATATCTACTCTATCTTCTATCTATCTATCCTACTCTATCTATTTATATTCTATCTAATCTATTATCTATCCTTCTATCTATCTAATTATTATCTATTCTACATCTATCTATCGAATCTATCTAGTCTATCTATCATCTATCTATCATATCTATCTATCTATCTATCTATCTATCTATCTATCTATCTATCGTTCTCATCTATCTTCTATCTATCTATCTATCTATCTATCTAACTCTATCTATCTATCATCTATCTATCTATTCTATCATCTATTATATCTATTCTATTCTATCTATCTTATCTTTCTAACTCTATCCTATCTATCTATCTATCTATCTATCTATCTATCTATCATCTCATCTAAATACTATCGCTATATTTATTATCTATCTATCTATCTATCATCTATCTTTTATCTTATCTATTTAAATATATCTATCTATCCCCTATTTAAATATATTATATATATATATGCCTATTAGTCTCAAGCTTTCTTTTTAGCCCAGTATAAACTATGACAATACGTCTAAGTTGCTCAGCAAAGCAAGCGTTGGATCGTGATATCATTTGTCTAGAAATACGCTTACAAGTGCTGGTGTTTCTGCTGTCGTAATAAGTCATTAGGCTCGGTCACAGCATTTTCGGTCAGCATTTTCTCTAGATTCTCTGAACTACACATTCAATCTTGAATTACGTAAGATCATCTAAGTGCTAACATAACAGATGGCGTTTCTCGACGATAGTTCTTCTACGGGTATCTTTGATAGCCGAATTGGACTTAAGCGGCCTAGATGTCCTACAACCAGTACTCATTGAAATCATCAGAGTAACAGTGCCGTTTTTTCTGTAATTATGAGTAAATCTCAATTCTAAAGAAAATAATAAATTAAAATGTTTCGGATTAGAGCCATGAATAGCACCAGTGCCATCGTAACTTACAAAATCCAGACTGAGATCATTTTCAGAATGTAGAAATTTCTATCGGAATGTACATACGACACATGTTATTGATAGGCGCACACATTGGCACAAAATAGAATAACGGAAGTAATCTAAACATTATATTCCTAAACATATCTCTGTGATTGAATAGTCATCAGAGAGTTGCTATTTGATCCAAGGATGCGCACGTATATTATTTCGCTTGCATTTATAACGCGCATACAAAACACAACACGCGAACACACACAACGCACGCACGCATGCACGCCGGCACCGCACGCAGCGCCAGACACCACACACACACATCACGCACCACGCAGCACACACACATCACCACGCACGCACGGCGGCGGCGCGTACAGCACTCACAATTACACGCGCCCGCACCGCAGGATGAATTGTATGTGGTGTTATATTCATGAGAATCTTGTGACACATATGAGACATCTCGACTCGCCACCCCGGTAGGAATTAGGAAAGAAGTGCGCATGCGCTGAGCCATCTAAAACATCTCA